GAATCCTCCTAGCGATGCCGCCGGCCCCTTTTCTCCGCCACCACCACCATCACCATCACCAATAGTACTAATCCTGATTTCACTCCTCGACGCAGGGCGTGGCGTGGAGTCGTTGACACATCCGAAGTACTGCTGCATGCCGAGGAATGTAAGATTGCGGCTGCAGGGGCGGCAGCGGCGGCGGCGGTACCTGTGTCCGGAGGCACCAGACAATCATCCAGCGCCGTGGCAGTGAGCGTAGTGGCAGGCAAATGGAGGATCGAGGCCAAAGATCCTAAAATACTACCGTATGATACAACAGGTGTACTGTACTGTACTGTACTGTACTGTGCTGCACTGTACTGTACTGTCCCGTTCGCTTGCATGATGCATTGGTACGAATGAACAGATGAACCACATTGAGGGGACGTAGGGACATATGCACTGCACTCAAGAAGTGGCGTTGAAACTATACTAGTGTAGTGCGATCACTCGGAGGCAGACAACATGAAGGCTACGACGGCAGTGAGACGGGACTTGAAAGCCCGAGTGGGTGCCTGACCAATGTTTGGTGCCCGGGAGGAGTACCAGCAATTCACCTCAATATACACTTCCGGTGCATGCGATGCCCTCAAGCAACGTCGCGACAAAGATAGCATCCTTGTGAATGGAAGATGACAGAAACTGGGAGACGGGAGTGATCAGTCCCCCAGCCAACCGGCCACAGAAGAAAAAAAATACACACCCAACGTGCTCCACACATGTAGTCTTTCCTTCAATCAATCACTGTTGCACAGTGCCCCAAACACAAACACGCCTGCATAAGACGGCCAAATAGCTTACCGCAGCAGCAGGATCCCCAGCGAGGACCGAGCCACCTCCACCCAGTTGTTGTTGATGTTGTGCCAACCCAACCATGCTCTAACCCTCGCGTGGATCCGCTGCTGTGGGCATCAGCATGAGGCGCCCAGCCCCCGGCAGCTTGACGACCCCCGCCTCCTTCGTCCCTGCCAGGTACATCCAAAGGATCTGCAGCAGCGGCAGAAGCACCACCAGCAGAAGCAGCAGAAGCAGAAGCAGAAGCAGCAGCGAGCGGAAATGTGAAAAAGTGACTTGAGGAAGCACAGGGTTCACAGCAGCGGCCCTCCTGCTGCGTACATTTGTTCCGTAGCGCTGTGGTTATACTCTCCAAGTAGCCGTGCTGCTGGTTCGCAATAGAGAAAGTTGAAGGGGTGACCATGGTGGAGATGTAGACTGTGCTACAGCGGTAGCAAACGGGGATTGAGTAATGGAAGCGGCAGCACCCGTAGCAGCAGCTGGAGCGGGACATA